GACAAAGCAAGATGCAGAAAAGTGTATAATAAATAGCAGCTCATGTTTGTTAATAGTCACTACATGTCCAGCACAGTCCTAAGTACTTTACATGTATTGACTCATTTCATCCTCACAATAAAATTAGAAATAATAATAACCTGCCTCCTCTTTCATAGATGAGGAAACTGAGGTTCAGAGAGAGAAGGTAATCTGCCCAAGGTTACATAGTAAGTGGAAGAGCCTGAATTCAAACCCAGGCAGCCTGATCTCTTTCTTCCTTGCCTGTATATTGTGACTATATTGGTTGTACAAAATGATTTTTTTTTTTTTTTTTTTTTTTTTTTTTTTTTGGCAGCTGGCCATAAGGGGATCCAAACCCTTGACCTTGGTGTTATAATACAACATGATTTTTAATTGGTGCATAGTAGTAACATTATTTATTATACCAATAATATTTAATTAATAATACTGTTATACATTTTTAGTTATTATGTAAAATGTCCATGTACCAGACTGCCTGGGTTTGATTCCTGCTGTATGGCCTTAGACAAATTACTTATTTGTCAGATTCCTCATCAAACCGGAATATTAGCACCTTACCATCATATAAGGATTAAATGAAAGTACATTAAATTGTTTCTAACCATTTTTATTGCATAGTAGGTACTCAAAAAACATTAATTATCATTTCTACAGTTTTTCACTACTAATATGAAGCAAAATGTTGCAGCAATATCTGTGTACATACATTTTTGAGCACATATATGATTTCCTTAGGATATATTTCTAAAAGTGAAATTGTTGCACAAGATTATACACAGTTTTTAGGCTTTGGCTGTAGAGTGCAAAGTGGCCTCCAGAAAAGTTTATCAACCATCAGATTATGAGAGTTCCTTTTTTTCCTCAGTCCATCAAATTAGAATATTATAACTTCTACCAGTACAGTTTTGTTTGCATGAGGAAATCATAAATTTTGAAGTGAAATTAAATGAACAATGAACTAAGGTATTTAAAAATCTTTGTAAGTTCTTAGTAGTTCCCTTCAGATTCATTTATAATGGACTAAATTGAAAATTTGCTGTCATATCTTACCCTGGTTAAGGATTTTTGTAATTAAACCTCAAGCCATTTTAGAAATTAGTTCAAAAATGATTTTCTTTTTTTGGCAGCTGGCCAGTACAGGGATCCCAACCTTTGACCTTGGTGTTTATAAATGATTTCTTACTCAATATATTTTGTTTGATTTAGTTCTTAGTAGTATGATCGTTAGGCTTTTTTCTACTTTTTATTGCCAGTATTTATTTCTGCTACCTTATCATTTAAGTAATTGTAGGTGGGCAGGCTTAAGACTATAACTATGATTTGTAATACTGTGGTGAAATGTATACTTTAATGTCAAATAAAAATCTGTACTGGATCTTTCATAAATAGGGATTGTTTATATTGAAAAGACCCCTTTTCCCTAATTAACCTATGTTCTCCCAAATCTGTTTTCCATTTAGCAGTAACTCTGTTAACTTTCTGGATCATTTACTATGTGCCAGGTAGTATGTCAAGTGATTTACATGTGTTATTTTATTTCATTCTCATCAACACTTATGAGGTGGGCTACTTTGCTCATTCTTCCATTTCTTCAAATCAGCAGCTTTCAAACTGCTTTGCCTGGTGACTCAGAATTCAAAAGATATTTTACCTTAGACTCTCAAAGCAATGTACCCTTAAGTTTCTGTTTCTTCCATCCCAATTTACTAATCGGTCACCATTCACAGATTGTAAACCACTGCCTTAAGTTACCTAGAGCATTCATTAAAATCGTTACCGTTTGGTTACTATTTCATTCTGTACATATTATTCCCCAGAGATAATGACTTTCAGCTTCAGTTTCATGAAAAACAACGTACTTTCACAGAGCCGGGCAGACCAAACATTATCCAATCCAGAGCCAGAAATGCCATATCCAGTTAGTTAGGGGTGTGTGTATTCATTTTTTAAATTCTAGGAATGCTGTTTCTTGATGGACTCTGGTCACTTTCCAAAATAGAGTAGCAGCATTTCCACAGCTTACTCATATTCATTCAAATCTGTGACTTTGGCTAAAATTTTAAGTTCATTTCTACCAAATTCCTCTGCTGTTCTTAAAAATCTTGGATTCCAGTGAAATTAGCATACAGTTCAGCAATGAGGTATAAATATATTTGTTAGTAATCATCTACTCAATGTATGGTTAAAGCACTTTAAATCAAGTAAGTGTTGTTGCTTAAAGCCCCTTTCCCTTTTACTCCTAGTTTTGAGTTGACATCAGAGTATTCACATGCACAATCTTTTGGTTACATTTATTAATCTTCTAGTTTATATATGGTAACTAAATACATAAGTCATTTTTAGGCTAAAAGCCCTAGCCTAGGGTTGGATCTGCTTTACGTGTTACTCACCTGAGAAATAGTGAAATAGAATAGAGTCAGGTAGCCCACAATAGAAACCTCTAGCATATTATTCTTTATAGTTTCCTGTTCTCTGAGTTAAATAATTAAACACAATCTCTTGTTATTTAATTGGCTTGAGTATGGCAATTTACATGTACAATGATAAGTTGTATACAAATAACGAGGTATTCTTGTGATGTTCTATAAATAATTTGCATTCAATAATAATTTCCATTAATTACCAAGCAGAAGTTGGAACTTTCTTATTAGCATAAACTTACAAAAAATTCAGTGTTTTGGTGACCTCTATTAAAAGGTTTTAAATTGCACCCAATTTTTTAACTGCTTGATGAGACTGGTAAATATGTAGTGTTGCATTAAGTGCTTATTAGTGATTATTAAAGAATCAAATTAATAATTTCAAAGAGTAAAGTCCACAGTGTAGCAAAAGGACACAGGGTAGCCAGGAGTAATTATATCTTTCCCATACTTTTTCCTGTGCCATTTCCTTTAAATGGGCTTCTACTAGCAAATTTTATGTCAGTCATTCATCAAAGGAAAGTAATGTTTTTTTCCCTTAACTGACTATTGTACATATAAAAGTCATTAAACTGTAAAGAAAAAAGAGGAAGTGATTACCAAAAAGACAGGATAAGCATTGCCTCTAAAAGGAACTGGAATGCTAGCCTTCTGGATGGTGGTTCTGTGGATGCTTACTTTATAACTCTGTTAAACTTTACATATATGCATTAGTTGAACTTTCAAAAAGGGAAAACAAAACTGAGGCTATCAGAGGTAGAAAAGGGAGAGGACGAGGTGGGGGGGTCTAGCCAGAAACTGGTAAAGTGCCACAAAAAATGATTATATCATGTAATGTTGAATATACTAATTATCCTGATATGAGCAACACATATTGTACACAAGTATTGATATTCAATGCTATACCGCACAGATATGTTCACTCAATTATATTTCAATAAAAATATATACATATATATAAAATAAACTTTACATATATGTAAAATGTTTGGAGAAAAAGAAAATTCTTAATTTTAACTACCTGTGTGCTACTTTTTTAAAAAAAATACTTATTTGCAAAATTGCATTAAGACATATGAGTAAGGGGAGTTATTAGTATTATACCATTTGACTGTTTTGAAGTTTACAACCTAGAGGTTTTCGTAAAGCTAACTGACTAGCAAATATAACCTCAAAAAGAGAAACATTTAAATTTTTTAAACTGGAAACTACAATTCAGTTTTCTATTTTAGCACTCTATCTTAGTTGATATAGAGTAGACTTCTATTGCTGATTAGTTTATAAAGTAATTTAATAAAAGCATATCTTTGATTAATGTATACATTTTAAAATGCTATATTATCTACTTACGAAAAAAAGACTTATGTGAGTACTGTTAAAGGAAAGATAAGTGTTCCATGAGCTGCTGGTAACACCAAGGTCATCTCCATACCGGCCAGCTGCCAAAAAAAGGAAAAAAAAAATGTTCCAGAAGCCATATGTTGAAACTAAGATGAGAAAAATTGGGGGACATCAAACAGAATAACAGACAAGGTGTTCGGCAGTTTTACAGAGTTATTCATATATATAGAGAGAGAGTATTACATCATGATAAATATGGAATATTTAAGCCAGTTAAGTCATTTGGATGGGAGCATTTAAAAAATGTTAATGTCACATGCTTTTCTGTGTCCTTTTTATGTGGTTGCATACTGATTATGTGGTTGATTATTATCAGAAGCATACAGTGATAGTTGGAAAGACAAGTACATAAACATTAAGTAATCGTACAAGAATGAAACAAAACAAGTTTCAAAAGATATCACAGAGGAATATATAATTATTTGTCAAAAGAATGTTGGGCAATAAATGTCATAAGTTCAAAGTAGATTATGGTAGATGGCTTTTGGGTGAATTTGAAGTTTCATGTAGTAGTGGGACCTTGCCCTGGATCTTGAAGAATTATATGAATTGGACTAAAGTAGGGATGGGCCCTCTAGGTAGGGAGAATGTCTTCAGGAAATACATGAGGATGGAAATGCACAAGATGGATTCCGGAGAATCTGATTAGATCAGCTTAATTGAAGAGGAAAGTTTATGTAGGAGAGTGATAAGAGACATAGCTAGAAAGGCAGGTTGAAGCTAGATTGTGAAGTTAAATTTTTCATGTGTTTATAATGTGGAAATGAATTATAGTGCTTGTCAAGATTGGTTGAGTACTCCTGGTCAGCAATCCAGCCTAGTGGTTAAGAAACAAACTTTGGAGCCAGATTGCTTGGGTTCTAATGCTTGTTCTATTGGTTACTTTAAACTCCCTGTATATTAATTTCCTCATCAGTCAAATGCAGAAAATAATAGAACTCACCTTACTGTGTTGTTGTGAGGACTAAATGAGTTAGTGTGTAAAGCACTTTGCCCTGCTTAAATTAATGTGATAAGTGGTATATGAATGATGACTATTATTGCTACGTAGGTTGGACAAACACAGAAAAATTTTTATAGTGATTATGCATTTCCCTAACAGTAATATGTTTGAGGTATTTCTACAAAAAACAATGTCTTTTTTGTGTATTGCAGTGTTTGGGAAATGGAAAGTAATGACAGCTGGCACCTGAACTAAGTACTTTCAAAAGCAACACCATTCCAGAACTTCAGGATGAATGGGGATATGCCCCATGTCCCCATCACTACTCTTGCGGGGATTGCTAGTCTCACAGACCGTAAGTTTTGTTAATTTAAGCCCTAATTTAAGTTCTGCTGTGTTTTAACAGAGATTTTTAGAGAGATTATTACAAAAATTATCTGTAATGTCATAAATAAGATTTTAGCTGTTGAATGACAAACATCATTATTTCCTTTGATTTATTGGTGTACATGTGAAAGTAATAAAATTTGTGTTATCAGCTAATTATAGTTAAGACCTTAATTTCTGTTTCCTCCTAAGGACCCTTTAAGAAATGATAGTATGTGTTTGATAAAAGGTCGTAACATGATAAAGGGATAAATGCAAAAGTAAAGGCCAAAGAAGATGACACAAAACATTAAGAAGAATCAAAACTGAAGAAGCATTGGTTTGCATATAAGAATAAAGACTTTTTAAAAAGCATTTATAGAAATGGTCACTAAAACTGCCCTTCAGAGAAGAAAATTTGACAGTTCAACTTATCCAATTTCTTACCAATATTTGTTTTGGTTGGCATTTGTCATAAACATCAGTGGTCTGTTTTACTCTGAACATTGTTAATCTTTTGAGATTTATTTAATGTAACACAATTCTTTAAGGACTTATTCTTTTGGTAGGCAGTTCTAACTATAATACTTAAGTCCTTGAGTTATAATGCAAAAAGCTGCCCAAAATGTTAGTCCCTATGTCATCTTAACTGAATAAAGGGAAAAAAAGATGAGAGGGAAGGGTACAAAGTGAGGAGTTGGTATACTTTGTATGGTATTGTGCAAGATTTGGGGCTTCATAAGAAAGGAACTATGAGAAGGTAACTTCAAGAAATGTTTTTATCTGTGTTCAGTATCTCCCAAATACTATTTTGGGGATTTTGGTTTTGGTTTTTTAAATTTCCATTTGGTTTTAGTGGCATAAAATAGATAACAGCCTACAGCTTTGAGCTTAGGAAACTAGCATGACTAGTTTATGAGGTCTAAATTAGAAAGAAAGTAGCTAGTTGGGTTAGCATTAGCTCAGGTAAGAAACTTTTTGAAACTTGCTTTAGTTTTTATTACTTTTTTTGTAGGCAAGCCATAAACTGTTAACACAAAGGGGTGCAAAATCAGATATACTGCCAGGAATTTCTGTTTTTTCTCCCTGTCATCTCAGCTGTACCTCATATTTTTAAAGTCTATCTTTCCAATAAGCCCTATTTATTAAATAATTACTTGTTTCCTGTATTTTTGTTAATGAAAAAACCTGTTGTTACTGGTTGGCTGAGCAGCATGATAATTTTACTGTGTAGGTGATTAGAAATTAATCCAAAAACAAAGGCACCTGTCATTTTAGTTCACTATCCTTAGTTTAGACAAATGAACAAATTTCCATTAGGTGAAGAGACGTTAAATGGCTGAATTTAAACTACTGTAAAACATTTATGTTCTTTTATTCACTGTTAAAATAGAATATACACAAGAGAACTATTTAGGAATTTGTAACTTACACCAGAATTCCTTAGATGATATTCTTCTAGAATCGTTTTCTATGAATGTTCTCCTGCTAAAGTAAGCTATTTATTTTTGTGTATACTTTTTCCCCCTTCTGGACGACTGGCCAGTATGGGGATCGGAACCCTTGAACTTGGCATTATAACACTGCCCTCTAACCAGCTGAGCTATCCAGCCAGTCCTTTGTACATACTTAAGCCGTTAAAAAAATATATATTACTCACCTGTCTGGTGAAAAGTTAGGTATTGTTATTTGGTTTATAGAAATGAGAATACTAGAATCCTGATAAATCTTTTAAGCTAGAATAAATGAAATTTAATGGACTGCTACCTTGGAAGTTACTTAGTTTTTAACCTTACCCATTTGGCTACTCATCTGTTAATAAAAATTTAAGAAATGGAACACAAACATGACTATTAAGGAGCTGAATTTTATTCGTAGAGAGTACTACAATCTATTTTGATCCAAATGATGTTTTGGAGTTTTTACAGGGTTGATTGTAGTTTTGGAGGGAGAGGAAGAATGCCTTTTAATAATTTGTCAGATTGATACAGTCATTCTTCAGTATCCACAGAGAGTTGGTTCCAGGATCCCCCAAGGATACCAAAATCTAAAGATGCTGAGGACCCTTATATAAATTTTTAATCCCAAGATATATATAAGCACCGAGGAGACTTCTTACAGTCACTCAATTTCTAATCATCTGATTTTCCTCTAAATAGTCCTGAACCAGCTGCCTCTTCCGTCTCCTTTACCTGCAACAACTACAAAGAGCCTTCTCTTTAATGCACGAATAGCAGAAGAGGTGAACTGCCTTTTGGCGTGTAGGGATGACAATTTGGTTTCACAGCTTGTCCATAGCCTCAACCAGGTATCAACAGATCACATGTAAGTACAGTCAATTTTACATCTAAAATAAATGAAAAGTTTTGGTCTTACTGAAGAGAATCAGTATTCCTGGCTTTACTTTTCATTTGAAAAAATTTTAGATACATGATATGTTTTCAAAATATATCAGTATCAAAGTGAGAATATAGCTTTACTGTGATGAGATACTAATGAGATTTAAATAGGCCATAGTTATTTTGAAACAATATTTCTAACCCATGTGGTTCTATGGACATCTTTTCAACTCTTTTGAAATGATCTTGGGATCCCTCAACTGTGCAGAGATCTAAAGTTGCTCGTGAAATTCTCTTTTACCTGGTATTGCTAGAGTAATTAAAAGTCCCAGATACTATGGACTATGCTGCTAGCTTTTTTTGGAATAGGCTTATATGCTTTTCATGAGAAGTATGAGAAGAACTCAAGGGTTAATTCCATGAAAGGCTAACACAGACTTTGGGACTGATTTTTCCTAGAATTTTACTTTACCATCTGAATATAGGTGTGTATTTTCACACAACAGACTTTAAAAAATAAAATTGACTTACATTATGCAGCATATTTACAAGTTTTTTGCAAATGAATATGTGTTTTTAAATTTATTTTTTACTATAAAAGCATGATGTCTTAACACAAAAATGTATAAAAACTAAAATCTCTTACCGTTATCCTTTGATATTCCGCTACACAATTGTGCTCATGTATCATTCCATTTTTTTATTTTTTTAATTTAAAGATTTGTTATTTAGGGGGATGAGGATAAAGCACATTATAATGGAGAGGTCTCTGCCATTAGATGCAGTACATATTTGGGGACTATTTTTAAAGCTATTGACTCTAAGGTGAAATACTTATTAAATATGGATTTTCTAATGGAGAAACTGAGAAATGATTGGTTAAAATCAGAAAGAAGTGTAATACTAATATATTGTCACTCCAGAAATTCAGTGGTGTCTAAATATTACGTCAGTTCTTTATTTATTATAAAAGAACTTCCATATTTATTCAACAGTTATACCAAATATTTAAGGAGGTAAGAGCAATAGCACATATACAATTAGAATTTATTTTATGCAGAGCTCCTTTAAGATTGAAGTCAGAAATTTACTGTCTTATCATTAAACACTACCTTTATAGGTTTTTGTTGTTAAATCCAATGAGTAGAACGGTGATGTAGAATGTAAAATTAAAAACACTCCCTATATTTAATTTTCTTAGCGCTTTTTATAGTTATGAGTTAAATTTTCTGCTTACTTTGAAATTTATTGAAAATTGCTACTGAATTACTTGTTTGGAGTGTTTTTTCTCCTTGATGCCTGTATTTGAGGAAACAATATAAGATGAAAAAATTGTATAACCTCTGGGCTTCTCTTAATCGATGTGGCAACAATATTTCATTTGGAACACATTCTCAGAAAATCATACTCATATATTCCAAGCCCAGACATCAACTTCTTTGCATAATTACCACTTCTTTACTCTTCCATTATTTTGAGTAGTTCAGATTAGACTCTATTTTCTATTTTAAAACTAATGTGAACAATCTTAAATAAATGTATAATTCCATAAAATAATGTTTTGGGCTTTTTTTCCCCTGTGTAAAATACTTTTTAAATGGGGTGAAAAATTGTTTTTAGAAGAACCACTCTTTGTAATTTTTGATAATTCTATTTCGTCCAGGGATAGCATCTTCGAAAAATCCATGCTGTTGGACATACTCACGTAATTTGTTTTTATACCAGTAGTCTCTTCAATAAATCAATTACTATTTTAAATTTTTTTATTTATTTTTTCAATGCCAGAGAATTGAAAGATAACCTTGGCAGTGATGATCCAGAAGGCGACATACCAGTCTTGTTGCAGGCCGTCTTGGCAAGGAGTCCTAATGTTTTCAGGGAGAAAAGCATGCAGAATAGATATGTACAAAGTGGTGAGATTCTTTATAATTGAATTTTATAGTATATTTTTTATGGATCCCCCATCAGAACTTGTCCTACATGTAATTAAATTCAAGTGTCTACTTTAGCAAGCTAGCCTGTTATTGATGAATTTCATTTTTATACCTTGAATCAAGCCAAGAACAAGAAGGAAACTAAATTAATATCTTGCAGTTTAATATTTAACTAAATTCCTTGAGAATTAAAGCTTTACGTGTATTTTGTATTTCTGAATGTTTGTTTACTCAAAGAATTTTAGAAATTATTTATATTAGAAAATCGTAGAATTGATTCCAAAGAAGTATTTCATTAATTAAATAAAATATTTGGAAATGTTTTGAACATGCAGCACATGTAAAAATAATTATTTATTAGTTTTAGTACCAATTGTGATTATATTCATGGTTATCTAATAATTAATTTAATGTTTCTGTTGCCTTAGCAACAGAAAAATTGGCTTATAAGTATTATTATTAAGGAAAAATTGATTTATAAGTATTATAGAAATCATAAAAATATTACATCCAACACAGATATAATTTTTGTGTAGTCATAGAGTACCTTTGGATTAAGAGCTTCAGTTCTGAAGCTTACTGAATTTGGCAAGCCCAAGTACTTGCTTGGCTCTCAATATTAAAGTAGTCAGGGAGGTAATAGCTTCGAAAACTCAGAAGGTCCAACTTAGGTGATTGATTAACTATATTCAAGAATATTGCCAGATTCATTCTGGTTTACTTTATTGGCAGTAATCCATGAAGTTCTCCATTCTATTTCCTAGTTTTTGATGGTTTGTTTGTTTGTTGTTGTTGTTGTTTAATAGTATTGCGTTGCTGATTTTGTATATTTATGTGTGAATTGTTTTTAAAGCAATTGCATAGTTACTATTTTATTTATTTATTTTTTTAGTCTCTGGTTGGTATGGGGATTTTGTGGTTACTATTCATTCACCAAAATGCTACCATGGGAATGCCTCTGCCCAACTTACTTTCAAAGAGTTGAAGGCAGATATGCAGGGCAGGGCTGTGTCTTCACCAGAACTAATAAGCTAGATTACAGCAGTAGCAGGAGACAGATAAGAACAGTGAAAGGAAACTAGAGTTATGAATGCTTTCTAGAAGAATATTGGAATTGAAAGAAAATATGGAGAGATAGTTGATTGAAATATATCAACTAATTAATATAGTAGGAGTATAAACTCTAGGGTAATGTGGGTAAATATAATATTGGACAAAGGAAGTCTTCCAAAGCCATTAATATAACTTCCAAGCCATTTTTGTAACTTATATTTTTGAATATTTAATTTGGGTAGTAAATCACTCTAATAAAAACTTTATAGTATTCACCTTTTAGGCACATATTTTGTGTCTTATACTACATATACTTATTTTTTTTTTTCCTTTTTGTTTTTTTTCGTGACCGGCAACGGCTCGCAACCCTCAGTGTAGCGCCCGTACCGGACCGACACCGGCAACGGGATCGCAACCCTCAGTGTTGCGCCCGCACCTCGCTCAGCCAGTGAGCAGCCGGTCTGTATGTGGGATCCGAACCCTTGGCGGGAGCATCGCCACACTCCCAAGCGGCGCACTGTAGCAGTGTGCCACCGGGCCGGCCCCATATACTTATTTTTTAGTCCAAAATGATGTTTGATTTCTGCATATTCTACTTTGTAAAACCATAAGCATTTAAAAATTAATTGATTAATTTCATGTTGTCATTTTTTAAAAGCATTTTCCTGTTGATAATATGACTTTAAAATTTAAAAGATCTTCTTGGTTGCTAAGTGTAAGTCACATAAGGAGAAAATTTAATAATATGCATATCACTTTAATCATAGTTCTTTGGAACTTTGAGCTAATCAGAAAGGACTATTAGAATATCATTTATTCCTTTTAGAAAACCGTTGCTTTCAAACTAGTAATTCCAGCTTGTCTCAGTGATGACTGTTAATTTGGCGGGGGGGGGGGTTTAACTCCTATCTCATGGAGTGTTGCCCTCCTTGAAAAAATAAATTCTAGCAACAATAATTATAGTACTTAAATTATGAAGATACGGAACAAAATGATTTTGTACTGAATTTGGTTTGTAAAAGAAAGCTCAAAAGTTGAAATTTAGGGCCGGCCCGGTGGCGCACTGGATAGTGCGCCGCTTGGGAAGCGCGGGGGCGCTCCCGCCCAAGGGTTCGGATCCCACATACAGACCGGTTCCCGCTCACTGGTTGAGCGAGGCGCGGGAGCAACACCGAGGGTTGCGATCCCGTTGCCGGTCCCCGGTCCGGTACG